AGTTGAATTATAAGTCAAGTTGTAGAACAAGTGGATATCTTTTAGAGTAAATTAATATCAAAAGTTATCAAATTGTCATTTGATCATATGGTGTTGCTTTGTTGAGTCTCTCGACTATTAAAAGTTACAAAATGGTCATCTGATTATTCGTATGTTCCGAACTCGTACTTTCTTATTAAAATATTGACTCACGTCTGAGCTGGACGTTAATACTCTGGTTGTGATATGACAGTTGTTTGAGATTATGTTGTTATATTTTATCATATCCCTGTCAGCATGATAATATCCAGCTCAGATCGTCGTCAAACTTTTAATGAAAATGATGATTTTGGAACATATAAATAGTCAGACAACCATTTTGTAACTTTTAATAGTCGGTGACTCAACAAAGCAATGTCTTATAGTCACATGTTAATTTTATAACTTTTAATAGCCGATTAACTTAACAAAACAACACATTATAATCATTAGACCATTTGTGTATTTTATCCTATATTTAATTAGTTGTAAAGTATAACTGCCTAACATAAATGAATTGTAAGTTTTTAGTGTACTTAATTATTATTTTAAATAAAATGATAATAATTGAGAAAAGTTCTTTTACATAATTATTGTAAAAAAAAGGGTGATATTATATAAAAAAAAAAGAAACTACACTTTGGTGCATTACCCAAAATAAGTAAACATGTGTTGGTGGAGGGGGCAAATGTAATTTTCTTTTAAAGAAGTTGGAGATTTAAAGATTTATAAAAGTTTTTTTATTATAAAGTTTCATAAAAAAGTTGAAATATGATAAACTAATAAGAATTTAATTAAGAAAAAAATAATATCTGAAAAATTGCTAGTTATTATGTGACAGCTGAGCACGACATTTAATATCATGCGGTAATGTTGAATAAAAAGAAAAAGAGTAAACTACATGTTTAGTACTTAAACTATTAATTCTATTCTATTATGGTACTTCAATTTTGTTTTTAAATCATAACTAATATTTAATTTATGTTTTAATTTAGTATTTTACCGTTAAAATTTTAACGGTGATGTTGATGTGTTATCATAAGATAATGTCATGTTTACATTGAAAAAATAAATAATGTCATGTTAGCAATTATATTAATTTTTGAATGACTAATATTAAATTGAAACCTAAACCAAATATTAGGTATGATTATGAAAAAGATAAAGTTTAGGTATCGAAACAGAACAAAAGTAATAATTTAGATATCAAATGTATGATTTACCCAAAAGAAAATGTTGTAAAGTGGTGTGTATTCGTCGAGTCAATGGCACTATCTGGTAATACACTGTTTTTTGAAATTATTAAATTATTGTTAAGAGTCATTAAAACACGTGTAGATGGTTGAGTCGGCAGATATCCCTACACGTTTACACTTACTGATTGGGTAGTGAATTTTAAAAAATCCTCCATATGAGAAAAATTATTAAATGTATTTGGCTCACCACCTTATATATGGTTTTAACTAATAGAATTCGTCCCTCTTATTTTTTTAAGGTAAATTCCCACATTTTTTTATATGTAAATAATAATTGGGTAGTTATTTGAAAGTTATTGTGAGATGAATAAATTTTATTGGTTAGGGTCACAGATGACGTAGTGAGCCGAGTCCATATAATAATTTCTCATGAATGGGGCCATGAAAACTGTAATAATTGTTACATGTGAATATAAGGTAGTATTTGTTCAAAAGATTTTTAATCATTTGATAATGAACACTCATATACTCCGACAGACGTCATGTTTGTATCTGTGACCTCAAGGGATAACAATAATCTTTTAACCACTTAGATCACTCGTTTCGTGCAAAACTGATAAATACATAAATATACTAAATTAAAGACATAATGTCAAAATTATCTCCCAACATTTACAAAAATTGTCATTTTGGCCCCTATTTTTTTTAGCATTTTTTTTCGAAAATGTTTCATTTTTAGGACACAAAGACTTCTAACTTTTGACAAAATAGTTACTTCGACCCTTATTTTTTGTTAAAACATTTTAGTTCTCAACGTTTCATTTTTAAGATAAAAAGCCCTTATTTTATAGCGTTAATTGTGTGTTAACTAACAATTTTCATCTATAGATGAGTCTTTTTACCCCAGAATAAAATGTTGGGACTAAAATGTTTCAAAGAAAGAATAAGGGTCAAATGTTCATATTGATAAATATTAAAGACTAATTTTAAGATTATGCCCAAATTTAACATTATGCAATGAAATAAAAGTTTCCTACATTAATTGTTCTTTTTTTCTCTATTATAAAAGGGGAATTCCTTATCAAGACACGATAAGTAATTATCAAGGAAACAGTAGTACCATGTAGGTTGATTATTAACCTTAGAAGTTCGATCCATGGTGTAGGTTGATTATTAATACAAAATTTAACACATATGCACATGCAATTAAAGAAAAGTTCTACAAATTAATGTTTTAGTCGATGAAAAAAAAAAGCATCTTTCGGTCAAGATATGACTAATAATTGCTAACGAGAAAATACTATGCAGCTTGACTATATGACCCTACAAGTTGGTATCTCATGTAATGCATTGTCTTGGCTAGTTATTCCGACGTTACTTATGATTGCACATTTTATTTTAAAATTCTATGAAATGGTTCTAATTTTTCCTTCTTTTTTTTTTTGAAAAAAAAAATTATATTTTAAGATTAACTTTAAGTTTTGGATGATTAGATATTTTCTTTTTCAAATTTCAAAGATAGTGAGGCGAAAAACGAGTAATCAAGTTATATATCTTAATTCTATATATCCGACTAATTTAAATTATTGTTTAAAATGATGTAAATGATAAAATTGCATCAATTCCACTGTTTTATTTTAAAAATAACAAAATTAAAATATAATCCAAAAATTCAATTACAAATAGGATATCCTCAAAGGTTATCAATTTAGACAAAATTATGTCTATATGATCTTTTGGTTAACGAATTTTCAAATATTATCAAATGATTATTAAACTTTTCAAACGATTACAAAATAACCATTAAATTTATCATACTATTATAAAAGAGTAATTAGACTTACAAAATGATTATTAAAAATATCAAATTAAATTACTATTTATAAAGCTGTAAGAATCATTCTATAATAGTTTTATAAATTTAATGATATTTAAAAATTCAATAACCGAAAAGATAGTTTTAACACAGTTTGATGACTTATGATATACTTTACTCTTAAATTTATATATAATGATAAACTATTAATTCACAATATATAACATATAATTATATTTCTAAAAAATCAACACCTTAATTGAGATATTTAAAAACATATTGTATAATTCTATGTAGTATCAATGAAACAGATGATGTCAATTCATCTCATCTTCTTCAAAAATTAAATGTAATTAATTTTAAAAATTCAAGAGAAGTTCTCATAAAATCCACTTAAATAATTTGAAAAAAAAAATATCCAAGTAAACATTATATTATCGAATATGACAGATAAATCATAAAGACTAATATAATAATAGAGTATAACGATATGTTGATAAAAAAAAAAAGCTTTATTACAACTTAACACGACAGATAACAATATATCTAAAATGATTACGAACACCAAAAAAAAAATAACAATAATAATAATTAAATAAACACCTACGTCAAATAAAAATCCTATTTCATACACCAACATATCGAACAGGCCACTAAAAGCCTGACCAGAAAAGATGAAAGATTTCAATATGCCAGCCTATTCCAGACATAGTAACCCGATGTTCTGTATCTCTTCATTTCCTTTTCGCAATATGTAAAGCATGCATGATCCTCTTGAATATCAATTTCCAGACTTATTATAAAAGTCTTCTCCTCACTCAGTCTGTTCTCGTCTCCCTTCCTGTCCTATCGCGAGAAAACCCATGGATTGAAGAAAATTATTTGGTTGTTCTGAAGGTCACAACTTAGAATTCCACCCCTAGAGTTTGTGACGGCACCACAACGGTTCATCCCCCAAAAGAAGTGCTAGAATCTAGAATTAAAGAGTGGAACCTCTCATTGGTGGGTCAATTTCTTGGTCCTGCTCCAAGTTTCTCTTCATTACAAAGAATTGTTGACAGTTTGTGGAGAAAAGCTACGGCGGGTGCACAAGTACAGGTGAGTATGCTGGAAACAACCTATCTGGTTTCACCTCTACAATGAACCGCCAATAACCGCACAAATCTATGCGGACCTATCAAAAGTAACAGTAACTGAGAAAGAGTTGTGTAGGTTTCCCTATCTTCTGTGCACTGGCAAGTTGCAATATTCGATTAGATATTAACTCAAACAGCTTTTTTGACACATACCAGTAGCTAAACAATAACCACGACCAGTAGCATTCACTTTGATCACTTCTATTCCACACGATTGACCATTGTGACTATGAAAATTTTCATGGATACTTGCAATAGTTCACATGAGAGGATCGCTCATGTACTAGATCCTTAGTAGCTCCTGCCATCCAGCCTTAAATTATGCTATGAAATTAAGTATTAATACCATAATAGAATTATATATAGACTTTCATAAAAAAATTATATTTCAAGTTCAACTAAAAAAAAGAAAATAAACTTTGTTCTTGTTAAAATTACTTTTAATTGAATTTTTTTAATTAAAACCTTTTTTTACTAAATACAAATAAAAATAACGTGATAATTAAATTTTAGTTTAAATATTATAATTAATACCTTTTTCAATAATTATAATTATATATAATTTTTTTAGTAGTAATTTTGAAGAGATTAAGATATTTTAATCTCTAAATTCATCTAAAATCCATGGCGTAGGATTGTATATAAAGTTAAAGAAACGGCGTTATGTACCTGCCTTCTCGCTTTCGAATTTGCATAATTCAAACGGGACGGCTCCACCATACGACCGTTGCCACAACGTTCCAAATTTTCCAAAATTTTTAAAATAACACATTTCTTTCTACGATTTATAAAACATCGTCCACCACCTCTTTTCATGCATTGAATTTCATTAATCTTCGACGATTCTTTTGATCGGGAAAATTATGGCAACTTTGGAATCTGGGATTCTGCTGAAGTTACTTAATGGGATGACCACCGGAGTAAAACCAACCGGCGAACATCGAAGCTCGCTTTTGCAGGTCACTGATATCGTACCGGCCGATCTCGATGAGGAGAACCTGTGGCCTAAACATGGGTTTTACATCAAGGTCTCGGATTCTTCGCATTCAATTTACGTTAGTCTTCCTTCTGACCAAGAAGATTTTGTTCTTAGTAACAAAATGCAACTTGGGCAGTTCATTTATGTTGATAGTTTGGAGCCTAGTTCTCCTGTTCCCGTCGTTAAGGGTGCAAACCCTCTCCCCGGAAGACACCCCATTGTCGGAACTCCAGAGCCTTTAACGGGCTTTAAAAGGGAGGAGGAAAAAGTTGAGCAGAAACATAGAAGAGGATCTTGGGTAAGGGGGGCTAATGGGAGTGCAAGCGACGTGATTTATTCTCCTTTGGCTCCAAAGCCGGTTCGGTTGCATTTCGATCAGTGTACTCCGGTGAAACAGCGGTCTAATTCGGTGAGAAATTCGATGATGTCTCCGATGATAAGAAAGGTAGCGAAAGATGGGAATGCTAGTGTTAATGCAAGTGTAAGGTGTTCTTTGGGTGGAGGGTTGTTGGCTAGGAAAAGCTGCATAGCGCCTTCTTCTGCCTCGAAGTTTCCTCGGAGCAAAAGCGTCTGCCATCGACAGCCACGGATTCCGATCAGTCCTCTCAACTCATCTGTAGGTACATTGTTCCCCTTTTCAATGATCGATGTTCGTTTAATTGTTTTCATTATTCAACTCAATTGTATGTTAAGTGATTCTTCCTTCGCTTGCAGGACACGAAAAGTTCAACCCCACCGCCCTGTTTACGCCGAGCTGCTTCCCTCAATATGGGTGAAGATGTACTACGACCGCAATCTCAGTTTGATAATAGCAAAAGTATAGCCATGAATTTGACCGGAAATTTTAGCTTGTTGAGCAAGGAAGCCATGCAGCACCGAGAGAAGGCTCAGAAGATTGCTCTTCTAGCACTAAGAGATGCTAAAGCCATTGATAGTTTAGTCCGCTCTCTCAAGTAATACACTTTAAAACCATCTTCTTCTTTCTTCATTCCAAGTTGAAGTTTTATGGCTGCTAAGGTCAATTATATACTTTGGCTGGAGTTGCAGGATGTTTTCCAACATGAGCAAGTCGGCAGATCCAGATGCTCCAGCGGCATGTTTAGATCGGTTTCTCGAGTTTCACGAACAAATTGTTCAGGCCATGGGTGATATAATGTCCATTCAAGGTGCAACCGAAATGGCACATAACTCAAAAGGTGAAGATACGCATGCAATCTTGGATCAAATTGCGCACAACTCCATGGACCAAACCGAGGAACCAGAGTTGTATGAGTCAACTGCAGCCTTTCCCGAGCCGAAAACAAACTCGGGGAAGGTCCAAAGATCAAATCCCCTCGCCATGCTGCCCCATGAAGCTATTGACGAGAATGACGAAAACAAGAGACCATTATCGTGTAGCTTAAGCAATACATTAGCATTGGGGAAGCAGATAGAAACTGAAGCAGGGAATTGGTTCATGGAGTTCCTGGAGAAAACTTTGGAGAATGGTATGAAGAAATGTAAAGGGAAAGTAGCACAGTCTCTGATACTGAAGGTTATTAATTGGGTAGAGGTAGAACAGAGTGATGGGAACAAGCAGCCAGTTCATCCTAAAGCAACACAAATATCTAGGAAGCTAAGGATTAAGGTGAAGAATCCTTGAATTGGTAAGGTTATATTACACTTTTCAAGGGTTTTTTTTGCCATCGTTCGATTTCCAATCATTTCTGGGATTGTATCTGTCTCGCATAATGCACAAGACTTTATGTAATATTATTTCTTTATTAATTGATTGTTTCACTCACTCGTAATATAAGATGAATTGATATATTTATTATTAGTATAAATGTGTACAACTTTTTGTATACAAATAGAAGTAATTAATTTTATTAAAAGATAAAAAATATCTAAAATTACAATGAAGGTTTATGATCACAATTCATATTCTTATAATCGTTGACATAAAAAATTAGAAAGAAATCTAAAAGAAACTCGAACAAAAGATAACTACGAGCAGATCTGATTGCATCGACAAATGAATCAACAGTATCAAATCAAAGTTAAGTGTCATGAGAAAATTATCTCTAAATGCAAACATCGTATCCAAATCCAATCAGAAAATCTAAGGCACGAAAGATCAATAGGATAACAACGAAAAACTTGAACGATAAGTGCAACCAAACGATAAATAAAAAAGATAAAAAAAAACTTGTCATAATAAACCTGAGGAAATTGTCATTAAAAATGTGATATAAAAAATAAAATGAAACAAGGACTACATGTGATTGACCACTATTACCAAGATTAATGTCGTCGCCTATCAAACAACAAAGAAAAATGGAAAGGAGAGAACTTTTTAGGATAAAGGTTTATAAACGTGTATAATTGGATCATAATAAAAATAAAATTGTGTATATTTGAACTATGATCGAAGTCTTATGATCGGATAATTTACTTCTCCGTATGACTGGTTATAATATAACTGAGTCCTGGAATCTTTTGAAACCCCTTGTTCACCATTTCCATTCTCATTTTTTCAGCCTTCTCCCATCTGTCTGAAGCTGCATAGATATTTGACAGCAGCACATGATGTGAATTATCCCCCGAATCCAAGTCATTATCCACTCCAACAACTTCTTGTATCACTTGTTCTAGCATGTTAGTATCCATATGAATTCTGCAAGCGCCGAGCAGAGCCCCCCAAACTACATCATTCAGCTTCACCGGCATTCTCTTGACTAAGTCGAAAGCTTCTTTCAATCTTCCAGCACGCCCCAGAAGGTCGACTAAGCAACCGTAATGTTTGATGCTTGCCACGATACCGTAAGTCTCCATCTTGGAGAAAATTTCCCACCCTTCATCTACACACCCGCCGTGGGAACAAGCTGATAGAACCGAAAGGAAATTTATGGCATCCGGCATCTCCATCGACTCTTCCATTCTTTTGAAAAACTCTAGAGCTTCTCTGCTCTTTCCATGAATGGCAAAACCCGATATCATGGAATTCCAGCAGGCGGTTTTCCTGTGACTCATTCGTTCAAAGATCGACCTCGCTTGGCCTAAATCGCCACATTTGGCATACATATCCAATAGAGCATTCAAAACGAACTGATTAGCCTTCATTCCTTTCGTCTTAATACGATAATGGATTTCTTTCCCAACATCTAATTCACCTAACTGTGCACAAGCAGATAAAACACTTGTGATGTAACTTCATCGGGTTCGAAACCTTCATTCTGCATTCTCCTAAACAGTTCCAAAGCTTCCTCACAGAACCCATTTTGTGCATACCCTGAAATCATCGAATTCCAATTAACCAAATTCCTAACAGGGATTCGATCGAAAAAAATCCTTGCTTCCTTAACATCACCCCTTTTACAAAACCCAGAAATCATTGATGACCAAACAAAGTAATTCCTTTCTGGCATCATTTCAAAAATCTCCCTTGCAGCTTCTAATTGTCCATTTGCATTACACCCGTCAACCATCGCCGTCCAAGTCACCACGTTTCTTAACTCTAATGGTACTTTATCGAAAAATTGTCTTGTTGCCCTTAAAGTATCTCCACTCTTTGCAAACCCATCGATCATCTCAATCCAAGTCACAGAATTTCTTCCAATAGGCATCTTCTCAAACAAATACAATGCAGATTCTCTATCCCCGTTTTTCAAATACCCACCGATCATCGCGTTCCATATCACCACATTTCTCTCGGGCATTTCATCAAACACCCTCCGGGAATCAATCAAATTGCTGCATCTTTAATACATGCTCAGCAGTGACGAGGAGATATGTAAATCGACGGATACCCCAAATTTGATTGACTCGGCATGCAAAGATTTCCCATAAGTTTGAGCTGAAGCAGAAGCACATGCCTTGAATATCAAAGGAACAAGGCCTAAACTGTAGAGTCCCTGTTGGCGAATTTGGGTGTGTAAATAAAGCACTTGATCGGGAGTTCCTTGAGAAAGGTGGTTTCTTAGGATGTAAGACCAACTGGGTTGATTTAGGTTTGAATTGTTCTTGGTTATATCCTCTACTATTCTAATGGCTTGTCGTGGGTTTTGAGCCAATTTTGTTGTTCCCATGTCTCGTAGTTTTAATTTTTAAGAAAATGCTCAACTGTGGATATATTGATATCTTTTACAATCCTGGTTGATAACTAAACTCATGGTCCCAAATAAAGAAGACAAAATTGAATTCAGTTGAGAGTTTCCATAGAAATAGGCTCATCGGCAACGCGGACGGTAATCGATGAGTCCTAGTCTAAATATACGTCCAGTGAATGTATCAAGCAGGAAGCAATTTCTGGACGATGATCTTCGAGTAGAACACAATGAAGGAATGGGCGTAAAAAGGGTGAAGATTAAGTTTGTTGGTAACATTTTTTTTTTAATTTAGACAGAGTTATAACCAATATTATTGTGAGATAATTTGTGTCGCGCATCCAGTCGCTTACCTTTAACGGCGCCCTGAAATATCGATTATAACTCTTCATTTAAATCAGAAAAGCAATAACTACACCAATCCAAATATTACCACCATCAACAAAGTTGAAACTTTCAGAGGGAATTGATAGAGTCTCATTGAGTATATCAAGGAACTCAACTTCTCTTTCAACATAATTTGAGGGGACTCCCTGTCCATGTTTAGAAATTTGTGTATCATGAATCGTATGTTCTTAATTATTAAGCATGAGGGCTTGGAAATTTCGTGGAAAAACATAATTGACCGCTAGTTGTTGAAAACTGAGTTCTGACATATTACTACTTCATTGAATTCAATGGCCCAATCTTCCGTTTCATGCATACGTTATTTGTACTGCCATGATTGTGTTAAAGCTCATGAAGTATTTTGGGTCTTCGTTTAGATACGGCTAGGGTTGCACAGAAGTCGGATTTCAATCCGATCCGGATCGATTTTTATCTGATCCGGTTTTTTCCTATAGAAAAAAAATTGGTTTATAAAATAACCGGTTCGGTTTCTAATCTGTTTGGAGGGCCAGATATCCTAACCGGTGTAACCGGTTTCGGTTTTAAAAAAACCGATTTTTTTAAAAAACCGGTTAAAAAACCGATTATAAAAAACCGATTTTAATATTATTAAAATTACATCGTCATCAATTGCAACAAAGTTTATGATAATTTGTTGAAAACATTTTGATATTTCGATATAACAAACTAAGTTAAATGAATTTTAAGATTTTCCAAATGATTTTCTAAGTATATTCGATATAATTATTCGAATATCAAAACATTACTCCAAATATTTCAAAAATCATTTTTAATCCTTACTTAAGTGTAAAATTAAGTTTTAATCTTAAAACAATTTTAAAATAATCTTTCAAAGTATTTCAAATCATTTTAAAGCCAAAAATTCCATATTGCTCAGAGGGAACCGATTCCCCCCAAGGGGGTACCGATTCCCCCTGAATGGTTTGGCTCTGAGATTTCCAGAATGCTCGGAGAGAACCGATTTTCCCATAGGGGGTACCGATTCCCCCCTATTCAACGGTCGAAATATTTGAATTTTACACTTAAGGAACCGATTCCCTATGAGAGGGTACAAATTCCCCCCACGCTCCAAGCATTTTTATTAAATGTTTTCACACTTAAACGGCTATATTATCTTCATTAATTATCCATAACGTTCAGAAGTGATTCAAGGTGTATTTAAGCAAGCTTAGAAGCCATTGATCAAAGACAAAAAACATCAAGCAACTAAAATCAAAAGAGAATTAAAGAGAAAGCATCAAACCTCAAGTTTGAGCATTTCAAGCCTATTTTCATTCAATATTCATTTTGCTTTCAAGAACACATATTGTGCTCAATTGTATTCATCTTTGAGTGTTCTTTTCTTTGTTCTAGAATTGTGCAAACAATCTACCTTGTGAGGATTTCCTTGTAAGTTTGCAAATTTGTATTGTTCTCTTTGGGAGAGAGTTTTCTCAAGAATTTGGGATATAATTCTTGAGGGTTTGTAAGGTTACTCTTTGTCCTCAAAAGAAAGACAAATTAGTGAATTTGCGAAAAATTCTTAGTGTGGATAGCTAAGGTAGTAGACGTAGACTTTGATTGAGAAAGTCGAACCACTCTAAATTGCTGTACAAATCTTTTCAATTTTCTGCAAAAGCTTCCACCGAAATTTTAATTGCCAATTCACCCCCCTCTTGGCCGATTTCGTCGATCGATTAACTCAACATAATTGAAATACTTAAATACTTCCAAGTTTGATAAATTCAAATACTTAAAAACTTCCAAGTTTGATAAATTCAAATACTTAAAAACTTCAAGTTCGATAATTGAAACAAAATTTACGATAATTGAAATAAAGTTTAAAAATAAACTACATTGCCATCTCTTCTTCATCATCTTCGCCTTCTTCGTTTGGAGGGGATATTCCAAGTTCGACTTCTTCAATGTGTAAGTTTGCTTCCTAATCGGCATCAATTGCATCTTCTAGGGTGGTGATATGTTGCTTACGAGCCGCTCCATCCAAATAATCCTTTAAACAAATACATACTTCCACCGACTCGGGACTTAGTCTTGATCTCCGTTGCGATATAACCCTGTCACTAACAGAAAAAGCGAATTCCGAAGCTACCGTAGAAGCTTGGACGGTTAGTAAATCACGGGCCATGACGGCTAGAATCGAAAATTGTGCTTCCTT